ATAAGGAGAAGTTTATAAGGTAAGAATAACTTAAATGTTAAAATGTTCAGTGTGAGCTGAGCAGGAGAAGATTATTTAATCTAGAAATGAGAGTTTAGTAGAGATTAGACGAGCAAATTTATGTTTTCTTCATAGTTTTGTTTTGGTTGGGGTTTTTTTTGTGGGGTTTTTTTTAAACTTGTCTCTTCATTTCTCAGGCATTCACTATGTTAGTCCTCTGCCTTCCTCCCTTGTCTTAGCATAGTTTAAATGACTGTTGAAGGTCGGGATGGTACTATTTCATGCAATGAATTTTTTTTTCCTTTAATATCACAGTACAAAAAAGTGCTTGAATTCTTTTCCTGATGTTCTTTTTGACATCTCTCCAGCTTATATGTAACTGCTAAAAATAAGATTTATTAAGTTTTTGTTATTTTCACTCCTCCTGGTGCTGCAGTAGTTTGCATCTAAATACCACGATTACTCTGCTGATTCAGCATTGCTCTTGTTTTCTGACAAGGTTTAGTGCCTGAATTCTTGGGTACTCCTCTTTGAGTAGAACTGTATTTTGCACATTTGAAGTGGCTTATGTGTCTGTTCTCTGTAGACATTGTGTTAGAGTGCTTTGGAAGATGGCAGTAACTAAAATACCAACAAATGGGAGAGCATTATCATCATCTTTTGGCTGGCCAGGATTATAGCTGTAGAAAAGGTTTTTGTTTCAGAAGAACAAACCTGTTTGTTTTGTTTTGGTTCGTTTTTTTTAATGTTCAGTGGGTTGAGAAGGATATTAAAATTGTATTTCAAAATGCTTCCTTTAGAATTAGAGAAAGAAACATACAGGTTCTTTTTTGCATAATGTTAGACCTTCACCTTTTTCTTCTAAGTTACTTTGCTGAAATCAATTACAGTAGCACACTGCGTTATTCTTCGACAGAGGTGGAGTTGTATTTTGGCATTTTCTGACTTCGTAAGTAAAAACTAGTGCTCCATTTTTTTTCCAAAGATGTAAACGCAGACAGCTTACTAGTGAAAGAGTGCTAGCTAGTCAATCCTTTGGCTGCCACTTCTGATTGTGAGTGACCTGATATAGAGCTCCATCAGAAACAGACTAACTAATGTAGGCATGGGGCTTCCCAGTGAGCTGTCAGGTCTTCAGAGTTTGAGGTTCAATAAACATATCTTAGTAGAACTAGAAGGACTGAGGAATGCATCTAAGCAAGTGTAACTGCCTATTGACGTCCTAGAGGACTAATAAGCATTTGGGTGAAATAATTTTATTAGTCAGAGAGTATCTGGAATCATCTGGTCAAAAGCTGTTAGACTCTTCATCATTAGGGATTTCTCTTTTTAGCAGGATCCATAATACTGTGTTGAAACACAGGTGTTCTCAGTAACTGTGATCTTTATTTATACATTTCAAGTGATCAACAGTACTTGTACAAGTAGTCAGAGACATGGTTAAAAGGGCCTTTGTGAATTAAAAAGTCTGGAGATACTGATTTAAGGATGTCCCATGGAAACAGAAAGGTGAAGACTGCAAAGACAGATTGATTTCTCAAAAACCTGTTAAAACTCATTCTTGAACTACTGGTGCTAGGAGTTTTGCCTAAGCAAATAAATCAGTGGGCTGGGTCTATTCAAATTGTTACCCAGTATTTTAGAAGTTTTTCATTTTTACATAGAAAATAAAGCTATTAAAAATCAGTAAATTAATTTAGTGGAAAACTTACTACAGTTTTGTAATTTCCACAGGGGGGAAAACATGTAGAGTATTTCTGAGGTATTGAATTCTAGAAATTCAGACTTCTTACTAGGTATAGAAGCCTGAACTCACTTGTTTAGCAGGCAGTGTTGAAAAATGTAGTGGGTTTAGACTACTATATCTGTGGGCTATTTGTCCATAGTACAGTAACATTGAGTCCTAGTAACTTTTTGCTAAATAGTCATTCACGTTTGTGTCTAGTTGGAATAACTCCTGTCCTTTTGAAACACTAGAGGGCTCACTGAGTGCTTCTCGAGTTGCATTTTGCTTTCAATGTTATGTCCATAAACCTCCAAATGTCTAAAGCTAAGGTGTTCTAAAGGTGCATTTTCTTAGGAGCAAATTTACTAAGCTTGGTGTTTTTATCAAAATCTAGACTTTTTCTGGAAGAGTTCTAAATTAACGCTTTGATTAGCCAAAAGAGATTAATCAGATATCTTGCTCTGTAGATTCTGGTGTGGTTTTCTTCCCATGGAAATATTTCTTAAAGTTTGGGGTTTTTTCAAATTACTGGTTTTGTCTGTCTGCTTACTTTTTGGATTCATGTCTTATAATTTCCTAAGAATCAATTAGATAAATGTACCTGAGTAAAAAAAAAAAAAAAAAAAAAAGAAAAAGCAACAAACCAAAACAATTGTTCATTAACATGCAGTAATAAATATTAGAAGGTAGTGTCTACTGTGTGGGCTAGCTTCTTGTCATACTATCTAGGGATTGGCTACAAGAGAGTAATCACAGTGGTTTCTGTTAAGAACTCATGCATGCATTTACAATGCAATATGATCAAAATATCAATCAGTTGGAAAAACTAAAAGCAACTGAGTACATATGGGTTATGCACTTTTATGACTTTTTGCTTGAACCGAACTGTGTCTGAAGCTGTTCCTGACTTTCTTGCTTGGTAACTGATAGTCATGGCAATCTGATTTGGGGAATGAAACAGGACAATAAAGATCCTCAAAACAAAAATTTGACTTGCAAAAATTTCTGTTTTCTGAACTGACTTGGTGTGGGGATAGATGAGCACTGCATCTCTTATGCAAGAGAAAGAGTAGGGATGTGGAGAGAAAGGAGGGGAAAAGGGAAGGACATGGCAATTTGATTCAGATCACTTAATTACAAGTTTAGTTTTAAAAAAAAAATGTTTAAAAAGTCCATCTGTGTAGTGTTCCCAGGTTAAGATTAAACAAATGAAAAGATTCTGATGTGATTTTATGAGAAAAAAAGCTTTGACAAAGCTTATAAAATATCAGGCTCAGTGCAGGGCAGGAATTAGCCTGATAAAATATTTGAGAATTTGTACGTTGATAACTAAAGCTGAGCTTGCAGGTCTGGCACATGATGGCAAGATAGAAAAAAAAATAAATTCTTATATAATAATGCAAAATTACCGTAAAGCTGCAATTGATAAATTTGGAAATATGCTGTGGCCAAATGATCGGTTTCATATGGTCTTGATCCCCGTAGACAGGTATTGGGAATGCCCCGTAGACATAAAGTCTGCCACTTGGCTGCTTATTACCAGTTCTGCCTAATGTCCCGTCCTTGGAGAACTCCTAAGCCATTTTGCAGTGAAGTCAAGGAAGGGACATCACTCCTGCCATCCAGCATATCATCGGTGCCATCCATGGCCTGCGACCGTTTCCACAGAGCCTCACACTCACTGCCTTTCAGCTGAGATCTGACAACCTTCTGGTTGAAAATGCTCAGGTATTAAATGCAGTTTTTGCATTTGTAAAGCTGGACCTGTAAAGGCTCTGGAGTAGATTAACATCCCTGAATTCTCCTGAAGAATAAATGTGCATTTATGCTTCCATAAATGTCAAAGAAATGTTTATTCTCACAAGTGTAATTTATTATAGTCTGTCTTAATAAAGATTTTTAACTGACATAGTTTCTCTATGTGATTTGAGCAAAGGAAAGAGCAAGGAAGAAAGTGCAGGATTACTGTTATCAGCATGACCCAAGGCTGTTGCTTTTAAAGTTAGGATTATAACTGTTATTTTCAGAATTATCCTTGACACACATGGCCTCAAGAAGAGGTCTGAAAGCAAGGGCAGATCAGTGTTGTCAACTGACAGCCTGAAGGAATATCTTTGAAAAGGTCTGAAACTGTGACTTTTTGTCTAGAAGATGACCTCTGGCATTCCCAGCTCTGCTCTGCCTTGTGGAAGAATTGGGGAGGGACCACCCGGAGGCAAAATCTTCTGTTAAGTGAGGTCGGGCTGCTTGTGGTGGCCCTTAAAGAAAACTTCCTGAGCAGATGTTAAAGGTATTAGTTGGTAAAGGGATGTGTTGGACCTGCTGGAGTGGCAGTGGCTCTTCTCCAGGCCTGCAGAACTGTATGTGTTGTCCTTGCTGCTTGTTTGAGGAGGTACAGATGGGCTCCTGGCTATGCACCTGGACCACCCCCAGAAAGGACAGTTTGGAGTAGGTCTGGCTGATTCAGGTGGTAGAGAGCGTGAGCTGTTCTTGAGTCAATCTGCTGCCCTGGTTTCTGACGTGGATGTCCTTTCCTCTTACCACAGAGCTGCTGTGCTGGGTTCCCTGAGCCAGTTTCCCAAAGCAGTATTTATTTGTGTTGCAATTCGTTACAAAACACATTTTTGTAGTGATGTTTAGTTGTAAAAGTTTTTGGCTATTTGTGCAAAACAACATGTGAAAGTAGCTACAGAAGCATACAGTAGCATTTATAGTCATAGAATAAACCTTTGCTTGTTGTTCTGACGGCTCACTTTAGCTTCCTTCTTCTGTTTTAAGCTATACTGAGTTTGAACCAGCTAGTTTTATGCAAGAAAGTCTCTGCCAGAATCTGAAAACTGCTGTGAGGTTCATTTTGACCTTAAAAATTCCTGCTCTAGGAGAAGTATTTTCTTTAAAAATGTTACTTCCCTCAATTCGAGGTGTAGGCTTAAAGGAAATAATATCTTGTTTGAATTGATACATAACACGATAAATTCCCTTCCTAAAAACTAATTATTTTTGAGTTTGTCAGTGTGTCTTGACCATAAGCATGCAGATAATGGTAGAGGTGGATGGGACAAACATAGAATTCTTAAGGTAACCATACCACTGCCACCCAGAAAACAGTGACATTGTTATTCTGTGTTGAGAATTTCATAGTTCTGATGCATACAACATGAATTTAATTAAGCATTGAATTAAATGTGTTTAATACTGAGAATATTCTCAAGTCAGTATCTGCTGTAGCTTCTTGCTAAATCAACATTATAATCCTGCTTTCGTTTTCCTACAGATGATGAAACATGCCTGGGATAATTATAAGCGTTACGCATGGGGATTAAATGAACTGAAACCCATATCTAAGCAAGGACATTCAAGCAATTTATTTGGTGAGTAGAGTGTATTTTTGTGCTTAGTGACGTTGGCATAAAACAGTAAATCAGCTAAAAAGCTTATAGGTGATAAACATGTATTCTTTCTACCCTCTGTCATGCAGTGTGGTGTTTCTTGCTTATGTATAAAAAGTAACAGTAAATGAAGGTGATGCTTTCTATGACTTACAGATTCCCTTTTGAATGAGAATAAATGAAGCATGTCATTGCTTGCGTGCTAAAGATGTAGTTTTGTTGCATTAAATACTGCCTTGCCTTAAACTTTTCCTATGAAATGGAACTCACTGACATCACATTCAATAAGCAGGAAAAAAAACCAAAACTGTAAGGGGGGAAAAAAATATAAATCCTGTACAAGGAACAAAAGGTACTCTCTACAGTCATGAAGGTAGCTGAAGCTGTCTGCAGTTCTCAGGAACTTATTTCCATTCCTTAAAAAAACTTGTTAATCTGTATCAGTCAGTTTCCCTTATCAGGCTTTCTCTTTCATGAATATACCCATTATTTGCACCTCTAAATGTTGCACAGGATATGCGTAAATAATGCCCAAGTTGTTATCAGTAGAGAACAAATACAGGGCTGAAAAGTTCTAAGGAACTGAAAAAGAGAGGCACACTGCAGAAGTGCAGTGTAATGAGGCAGGACTTTTTCAACGTCTAAGTGGGACATAAGGCTGGATAAATAACAGCTGAAGAGGAACAGCATTCTGAGCGAGTGTGAGGAAAGCAACCCTATGAAATGTCATCATTCAGTTTTTCAGAAAAATGAAGAATTAAACTGTTTGACAGCAATCTTTTTATTCAAATTGCTTCTGTTTTCCAAACCGAAAGCTGAAAAATGAAGTAATTTCTATAGCTGAGACAAAATCAATACATTATTTTGATTTAACAGGAATTTATTTTGTTGAATGTTTGGAAAAGATAGTTTGAAGTGGAAACATTTCCTAAAACAGCCTAAATAGAGCACTTATCAAACCCTCAACTATATTTGGAAGTTGCTAAGAGACAGCAGTTTTGATTACAAAAATAATTTTGAAAATACAACATCTACATTGATCTTGCTGAACTGCTTGTCTACCCAAGGTAACATCAAAAATGTTACTTGGTAATTATTATATAGTTAGTTATTGGACTTTATACATGAAGAGGGTGCTGGAATCCAAAGTAATTTAGGTAAACCTCAGGGTTCAGTTGGGCTTCTGTTTTCTTGAAAACTAAAATTTATTATCTTCCTTCAGATGATTGATAGTTGTGCAATTTGATATCGTGTTTGAAGAGCTATTTAATGCAATCCTGTTTTCTTTGTTTTCTTGGAGGACAACAAAATGTCACATGATGTCTTGAAAATTAAACTGCTTAATGTAGTTTCATTTGGAATCAGAAGTGGTATAAAAATATATGAAGTTTGAGTTCTTAATGATATTGCATGGATTCCCAGAAAAAGCTGTAGATGTATCAACTTGTAAAATTCTTAAGCAGGAGTTTTGTGGATGTTGCATAAGAATAAGTCACTGCAGGCACTATGCAGTGTGAAACAGGACAAGTGTTGAATTTGAAAATAAAACTGCATTTAAAGGAGTAAGAGCCAGAGTCAATCTAAATGCAGATCACTTTCTCATCATGGTCATCTAGTATAAGATCTTATTGCTGAGGAGATTTCCTTAGAAACATCTTCACTCTTACTGATCTTGGTGGCAAATCAAAATAAGCATTAGGTCTCTTTCTGGTGAATTGCTTTACAGAATACTAAAAAGCAGCATATCTCCAAGCCGTTCTATCTCATAAGCTACCCTTTCCTGAATCCATAATCTCCTTTTGTTTTTCAGAAGCAAAGCCTTGTTTCTGTAATAGTGTTCTCAGATCATTAGATCTAATAGGTACCTTCATGTTTGAATTCAACAGATGCCTCTTTCATAAAGCAATAAAAGGATGATTTCTGTTTTTTTTTTATTTCCTTTGGTCAAATAGTTGAAACTTTTTCCTCCTGAAAGGACAAACAAGTTTCCTTATCTTTGTTTCTGGTTTTTGTTTTCTTTAAAAAAATGGATTGCAAACGGTTGACTACTTTTAAGGTAATTCTGAAATGAATTAGTTACTTCCACCTCTGTGTCCTGCAAATCTCCTCACAACCTTCAGAAATCAAGTAAGACCTTCAGTTCAGTGCCATCCATCATAACTATCTCCAATTTGCCGTGATTGTCTTTTCTTATTGCTTCCAGGTCTCAATTTTTCAAAAATATAAGTTTTTCATTGTCTTAATAGAATAAGATATAGCATATTTCATTAGCCAGCTATTTAATTTTGAACACTTACCCTCCTGTCAATTAACTGGTGCAGTTATGGTACCTTACATATATTGGGGCAGGGTCTGTTATGGGATGGAGACTTTAAGTACTTCACTGTGGGGAACATCAGGTTCCAGTGCTGTAGCTTACTGGTGCTTAATGTTGCATAGGTGACAGACAGTAGAGCTCTCCTGACACAGAGGAAAGCTATTTTCAAATGATATTGCTTCTAAGCTTAATTTTGAAAGTATAAACACATCTGTCCTTGCTAGCATGATAAGGCATTTTGTAGATAGATTGACTGTTCCATCTTGAAGGCAAGACACAACCGTCATGATGTGTTTCTCTGAAACACCAAAATAAGATGGGCTTTTAAGAAGTGTAATTTAGATGTGACTCTTAGGCAATATCATCATGAATTTGGCAACTATACTGACACTGTTGTTAGGGTAGGGGAAGAAGGATATGATTGGTGGGATGATGATAGGGAGAAAGGATAGTGACAACTGGTGATTCTGACCTCAGGGGAAGAAAAAGCATCCTGCTTTAACACCTCATACAAATTAAGAGTTTCTGTAGCAGAGGACTTCTTGCCAGACTTTGAAATGACATTATATTTGTGATAAACCCAGGCCATGAAACCAACTTTTGAAGACAAGAACCTGCCTTGATCTTGTTAGTATTCTGTGAGCAGAGTGTGGAGAGTGTATTTAATAAGTTGAGGGAGTCTTTGAACTGGTAGACTGTAGACATATTTGTGTTATGAACAGAAGTTGCTTCCTCTCCCATGTGCACACTAAAAATAATTAACTTTTAGAAATACTTCTGTTTCAAGCCAAAGCCACGTACTTGCCTCTGACCATTGTAAAGTCTTTTCAACACATCCATCTAATGTTTTGATTTCCTTTTTATTTGCCACTTTAGTTTTTACCATGTTGTCTTGGCAAGTAACTAACATTTTTGTGGGTTTTTTTTATAGTTTACTGCAACTACAAAAAAAATCAGTTACAATAACAACTATATGAAAAGGCAGAAGTGAAAATTCATCAGTTGTTGTCTCTGTAGCATTCCTATTAGATTAATTCCATGAAGTATACCACTATTTCTAGACTAATCAAGTAAATTGGAATAGCTGAACATCTGTTTGCACCATACCTGTGCATCAGCAAAACAAGGCATGTCTCCTGTGCTGGTATGACTTCTGCTGTGAGTACTAATTGTTCTCTGCCCATACTTGGTAGAAGGTAGGCCCTGAGTAAGTGCTGTTAATTTTTAATATTTTAATCTTTAAACCTTCAGATTACTGTTTACAATGTTTGTTAAAATAGAGCTTTATCCATCTACCCTCCTAGTGTGGAAGCAGCAAAATCACAATTTTGCCATTTTTTTCCCCAGCATCTCACCACCAGCCCCGCAACCCAGGAGCTATTCCTCTCCAAGCTTTCTGTACTGATTTTAAAATTAATGAGAATTGCTGCACTTGCGGAGAGCTCTTTCTAGAAGTGTTTTCTGTGCTTAAGTGAGAGAGTTACTAAAGGGCTTTTTTTAATTATCTGTAACTGTATTTCATGTGCAGTATTGCCAGTTTAATAATATTGTAACTTGTGGGCATAGTATAATTAGTCTCTGCAAGTGAAAGGACCTTTTCTGGAGAGGGAAAGGGACGCATTTAATAAATACTCACAATCTGCAATGCTAAAGTACTATAATTTAGCAAGATCCTGTTCCTCCCACTTTGAACTGATTTTTGTAGTTTCTTGTATGGAGTATTGAAGTGTATGAAGATTTTTAAAACCAGCCAAAATTCATATTTAAAACTGTCTTGCAGTGTACATCAATGTGTATATTTAAACTGTAAGTTTATTAATATAGCCCTAGAAAATTAATTGTACATGTATTTAAACAGTATGCTAATTTAAATCGAAAAACTTCAACACCTTTCCCCCCCCACACCTGCCTCCCCCACCATCTTGTTTCTCTTCAATGTTGCTGCTGGATCCCTTGGAATTTTGGATTTCAGTATGTGGTCTTGATTTTGGAACTAAGCCTGACATCTTTTCCAACTAAATTAATAGAAACTCGTCTAAATACAATAGCATGTATGTGGATGAATGACTCAATACAGCATTTGTGAGAAGAGATCATGCTGCACAACTGCTGTTCTTTCAAAGAAGTTGGTTGGTATGAAGTCAAGTTTATTGTATTTTTAGATTTCCAAAAAGCAGCTATTTCTGGCATCTTGCAGGGATCCGTTGCTGCTGAGGCCATGCTCCCAAATTACTTAGCACAGCACTGGAAAATCAAGTGACCAGAGTTACAGTTTGGAAGTGCTAACAAGTTACTTTAGATAGCTATGACAAAGGCAAACTGCAAATAGTTCCATGAACCCAGAAGGATTCCCAACAGATGATAATATATGGAGGCCCATAAAAAGTGGCATAGATGGCATGAACAAGGATTTATTGTTCCTTCTGGGGAACGGTACCCTTCATAAGAGGTGGAAATATCAAATCAGTAGACGGCATGTTCAAACAACCAAAAGAAGGTGGTTCATAACGAAACATGTAGCTGAGCTGCATGGGTGCTAGAGGAGTGGTGGTAGATGACGAAGGCTTCCATGGAAAGGAGAGAGGCAAGCGGTGGAGGAAAAACTTATCAAGCTCTTTTTAAAAGACACCAGAGCTGGCTCTAAAATGCACAGACATACAAAATG